GCAATGGAAATTTTGGGCTTTATTGCGGTCACCAGTCAAGGACTACCTGTATTATTAAGTTGTGATTTTACCAGCACAATTAATCTTGGAAAGCAGTGGATATTGGAAGTGGATATTTTACTAGCAGCTGATTAGGCACTGAGGATCTTTTGAACTTTTTGGTTAGGCTGTAGCCTGTCTTCCCTTCCATATAGAAGCCCAGTTTCACCATTCTGATGTAGCTCTCCTGCCGTGCAGCTCATGAATTTTTGCTGCAACCTCTATTCCTAAATCTATTCCTTAATTTTTCATTCCCTTTCTGAGTACATATCTTAACAGTAAGCAACAGCTAAAGAGCAGCTTTCCTTCCTCCCATGCAATGGCTTATCTTTTCTTCTGGCATTCACATAAATATGGAAAAGTACAAACAAGGTGCCGCTTGGCTCCATTTAAGAGACTTCAACAGCTTTTCAAAAGTTTGTCACATACCCAATAATAATCTCTGGGCACCAGCAGTGTTCCTTTTATCCCTGAATTCCATGCTGATGCAGGCTTGGGCACAGAGAACAGAGCAAGCAAGTAACCAATCCTGCATGAAAACTCTTCTCCACAGGTATCAAATGCACAAAAACATATAAACAGCAAACTGCCTTTGTTTTTATTTTGCCTTAACAGATCCCAAGACCTAAACAATCTCACCAAAGTGAATCATATGTCTAAAATAGCTTAGGAAGGAGTAAGTTTCGAAATCTGAAACCTGTATCACATTCTGAATCTAGTTTGAAAATTGTAAAATTTCATGTTCTTCTTTATTCCACCCTCCTCCCCAAAACTCTACTGAATCTTATGATGGCTAAGATAGGGGGGCTAAGTCCATTTCTACTCTCTTATGAAGCTGTAAGCTTCATTGTTCCTTGGGCATCCATAGGGTAAGTAAAAAAAAAAAAGTGAAGATAGCAGTTGCTTCCATATGATTGAAGCTACAACTTTTATTAAGTGCATGGGATGTCAAGATGCATACAAAAGAGGTTGAGGGTCACAATTGGCATAGCTGCTACATGGAAATTTAATTGATTATAATAGGTGGTATTGGTTCAACAGTAGTAACTGGGAGAGGGATTTAGGTTTCCTAGCGGGCCACCATTTAAGTATGAGCCAACAGTGTCCTACAGCTGCCAAAAAGCCAATGCCATTCTAGGCTGCATCCACTGAAGGATAGCATCAGGATCACAAGAAGTGATAGTCAGTGGTGTATTAACCATTAAGCAGGCTAAGCACGTGCTTAGGGTACCAGGCCCAAAGGTGGCACCACAAAACTTTTATATACCCTAAGCTTGGCTTCATTTATGTACAATATTTACAAAGGAGGAAGGCATCAAGATTTGTCAGTGCTTAGGGCACCAGTGAGCCTTAAGCCACCACTGGTGATAGTATCCTTCTGCCCTATACTTGTGAGGACACACTTGGAATCAGGTTCTGATCACCATGATACAAAATAGATGCTGAGACCGTAGAAATACTGCAGAGAAGAGCAATGAAGACGATAAGAAGTCTGGAGGCTAAACCATGTAACGAATGTTTGAGAGAAGTAGTTGTATCTAGCCTAATGAAGAGTATCAAGTGTTATATGACTTGATTATCTACCAGTACTACCAGGAATTGTCTGCCAGGCACAGGAAATTAGAAGCCAGGATAGAATTCAAAGGCACTATGAGTTTATGCCATGCAACTTACACACAAGAATCTGGTCTACTAATGGTCAAGGCATATTGGCATCAAATAAGAGTCAGTGGACTTCAAGGAGGGGCTGGACTTAGAACTCTTCTGGGGCCATAGCGACTTCAAACTGATAATGCATTTGACCCCACTTTCAGTCTCAACTAGATCATCTCCTACTTTGTTACATAAAAGAGGGAGTTGACTTACTCTCTGAAGTACCTAAGGGCAGAACAAGAAGCATTGGGTGGAAGCTTGTTAACAGCTTGCCTTCCAAAGTTCTGGGGTACTCCATAGCTGGAGGTTTTCAAGAAAAGATTGGACAGTCGTTCATCCAGGAGGATATAAGAGCTGTGGTGGCACAGTGGTTAGAATGCAGTATTGTAGTCATGTGATTGAAGCGGTGTAACAACTGGTTCGATGAGTGTGTGCTTTGCCCGTGTGCACAGCTTTTAGAAAAGACCATTTTTAGCTATAATACTTACCTTCTGCTGCAGCCCTCTGCTGTGCGAATCAGCTGTGCTCAAAAACAAGGAAATAAAGCACAAGAAAATGGCGGGGGCAGGTGGGTGGGACCAAATGATCACCAGAACTACCAGTTCGCCCAAACAGATCCAAACCGGTAGAATACCACCCCTGCTTCCATCCTTCCAAAGTTGGTAAAATGAGGACCCAGATTGTTGGAGGGCAGTATGCTGACTCTGTAAACTGCTTAGAGAGGGCTATCAAGCAATGTGAACTCTAAGTGCTATTGTTCTAAGGACCCCTGCTTTAGGTAGGGACTGGACTAGAAGACCTCCAAGGTCCCTTCCATCTCTATGACTCTATGATTCCTAAGCTCATTTGACTCGAAAGGTCAAACTCTTTGGTGCTCTGGACTTTCTGATTTCCATTCTCATCCTCCTCCCTCCAATTTGGTATAGTGGTTAAGGCCCCAGGCTAGAAACAAGAGACCGTGAGTCAGCTGGTGACCCTGGGTGACCCTCAGCCTTAGGAAGGAGGACAAACTACTACTGAATTCTTGCCAAATAAACTGCAGAGATCTGGCCAGGCAGTTGTCAGAAGTCAACGATGACTTAAATGCACACAGAAAATGTAAAAGTATGTGTGTGTGTATGCATGTGAAACAATATACAATTTTAACAGATACATATAGAAGCTAAATTTATAAATTTTTATGCTCTAGCATTATTCTTGTTTTTGACATCTGATTTCTACAAATAAAGATCACATTTTTAATCTCTGTCAAATTATTTGATTGTATCTGTAACATAAGGTTAATCCATTTTAGATTTTTACCTAATTGTTTTGAATACAAATCAGGAGATGCTATTAATCACTATTATAACTTGTGCATGATGTGATTTTTGATCTTTATTATTTCTCTTTATATAGTGCTATTGAGAGAAGGAATATTTTCTGAATGGTGTCAAGTCAAAGAAACATTTTTTTCTTGATACTTGGATTCTTTTCTTTCTCCGTTTTTAAATTGGCTAACAAACAATGCCAGATAATGCAGATAAATCCAGTATTGTTACTGATATATTAAAAGCAATGAAATATTTAATTGAAATGCACAATATTTCAATTAAATTATCTGTCTACTTTCATTTCTAAAGAGGCATAACCTGGACACTTTCTCTAAAGTCAAAGATGAAACTGATCATGGTTAAGTCTCTGTTTTGGTTCCAGTTCAGTATCTAGGGAAAAAAAACATAGAATACCATGATGATAGGAAGTTTTCTAGCTCTGCTAAATTCCCAAGTACCAAAGCATGAATTATGCAACAATGCATTATTAAACTTTTATTTATCAGCAACAATATTTCATACCACATCAATATGATATCTCTGTGTTATTTTGGAGGGCTTCTCCTCTAGCAGAAATTTCTACTAATAATCATTAGCGGGTACATTACTCACAAACCTAAAACACTTCCCTAATCTTCAAAGTTACTCTCATGTAGTAAGATCAAATCATAGGCTTTAGAGCAGGGGTATCAAACTTGTGTTATCATGCCGCTGTCATGTGACATATTGTGACTTTTTCCCCTTTGCTAAACCGAGCGTGGGTGTGGCCAGTGTGTGTGACGCATCCAGCCCGCGGGCCATGAATTTGACACCCCCGCTTTAGAGAGTAGTAGTTCCTCCTATTGTTTTATCTCTGTATTAGACAAAATTCAAACACCATAAATTACTTTGGTTTTTCTTTCATCTTAGCGGATATCAGGATGTGGAGGATCTCATTGAAGTGAATCGTATATCAAACCAGGAAGGCAGATCGTAAGTTCTAAATTGTACTGTTGAATTGTACGTTACATTAATGAATGTGGTTTTGAAAAATTATCTCATTCTTTTAAAATATTATGAATCAAATATTGGTGATAGTTGTCTTATCAGGCATTCCTTCATAAACTTACAAATGTTATAGTTTCTTACTGAATTTTTAGTATATATAAATGAAATCTTGCTTTAAAGGACTAGTTAGGAGTAAAAGTCAATGAGATATTCACAAATATCTTTTAAATATGAAAATGTATCATTGGGATATTTTGCATCATTTACAGGATTTCACTGTGTGAAGGACTGTAAATAGTCAAAAAACAACAACATTGCACTATTTGCATCTGTGATTGAATGTGCACCCAGGGAAACAATGGGGGAGAGTTTTGGAAACACAGAGCTTTTCCACAGAGAAGCCCAGATGAAGAGACTGTAGAGTCCTGAGTTGGATGAGGAAATGAAGTTCAGGATAGCTACAACCTAGAATCTCTTAGGATCTAGTACAGGGATCCCCAGCTCCCGGTACATGGAATGGCACTGGTCTGAGACATGCCAGAAACGGGGCAGCGCAAACAAGCAAAGTCCCATCCGCAGGATATAGGCAGCATGTGAAACCAGGCCCGCTTTGGTCCATGGAAAAACCTCTCTCCACGGAACTGGTCCCTGGTGCCCCAAAGGTTACGGGCTACTAATCGAATAGATCAGAAATTTACAGCTTTAGTTTAGCAATATTCTGTCCATTAGTTACAAGAAAAGAAACAATTAAACTATTGGACTTTGCTTGCGTGATAGCATCACAAAGCTCACAAATTATTTTATTTGCATAATTACTTCATTATGCAAGTGATACAAATCATTACAGAAGTTCTATTGCATCCGGAGTTAATTATACTGAGATCCGATAAATCAAGATTTCACTGAATACACAGTCTTTCCTTGAAAACATTGTTACTACGATGCACATTTATGATTAATGGTTAAATTTATATTCCATCCTTTCCCCCAAAACAATGTTCAAGTGGAGCAATAATGAAGTATTACTGATATAAAAAAAAATAAGTAATGTTAAAACAAATAAATTAAAAACACCTTTAAACCTTCTGCTGAATTATTATTGGAATCCCTGCAATCCTGTGTACTCATCTTATTTTGTTCCTAAATCAGCTCTGACCTGGACAGTTTCATTGAAATCAAAGATAAAAGCAATCAAAGGTAAGTCTATACTTCCAGTTTGTGACTTTTAATTTCATTGCTATGGTTAGACACAAATGTGGCATAATTTGAGCAGGAAAATACTAAATGTGAAACCAAATACAGGTAGTCCTCAACTTACAACCATAATGGAGCCCCAAATTTCTGTTGTTAAGTGAGACCTTTGTTAAGCAAGCTTTGCCCCATTTTGTGACCTTTCTTGCCATAGCTGTTAAGTGAATCAATGCAGTTGATAAGTTAGTTACCTGGTTGTTAAGTGAACTTGGTTTCCCCA